TGTATATTTTGGCCATGTGGAGAGTTGAAAGTGTCACGACAAGATATCAAACTATATAAGTACAACTAATCAGTTTCGTATTAACACAAAGGACAAGTAAACGTTAAGCCTCCGAAGGTTTTGTTCTTATTGTGTTTAGCTCAACAACATCTGCTGTATGTTCTCCAAAATGTCTCAGCATAGCCACAAGAATACACAGCCTAGTCCTCATTGATTAGTCTCTTGGTTTTGTTCATATTATGTTTAGCTCAACAGCATCTGCTGTATGTTCTCCAATTTGTCTCAGCATAGCCACAAGAATACACAGCCTAGTCCTCATTGATTAGTCTCTTGGTTTTGTTCATATTATGTTTAGCTCAACAACATCTGCTGTATGTTCTCCAAGATTTTCAATATTCCTATTGCAGCAGTTGGACGAGGAGACGTTCACGATGGCCATGATCCTCAAGGAGAAAGATGGGGTTCTCAGTGAGCATGACCTCCAGATCAACATCATGTGTAACTTCAGTGCCGCCGACAGCCTTGTCACTTCTGACCAATATTCTTTAGAACAGTATGTTTCCATGTTTGTCTAGACTGACTGATTGATTTGATTGATTGACTGACTAAATGCCTGACTTACTGACTAATTGACTGGCTTGCTGAATGATTGAATGTCCAACTTACTGACTAATTTACAGATTGTTTGATTGACTGACTGAGTGGTTAATTGGTTGACTAACTGTTTGACTGGTTGGCTTAATGACTGATTGACTGTCCATCAACTGGCAAGCTGTTCGACTGACGGTCTAACATAATGTGTCTTAGTAATTGACTGATTTGTTAATTGTTTGACTGACTGATTATATGATAGGCTGACTGACTGGTTGAATGAATAATTGATTTACTAATTGAATGTTGATTATTTAATTTACTGAGTGTTTGATTAAATGGCATGGTGATTAATTTATTGTCAGTTTGACAGGATCTACTCATTCACTGCTGATTGTTTGATTGAGCTGGTTGATTGACCTAATGGTATTATAATTAGCTGAATGACATTTTGACTAATTGATTAACCAACTGACTGAGACACTTTGTTGAATGCTCATGTCATTGATTAAATTATTGAGTTACTGATTACTGACGGATTACTGACTAACTGAGTTTCTGGTTGTTTCTGGTATTTTTATGAACTGATTAACTGACTTGCGGACATATTGATTCATTGACTATCTATGTGACTAACTGAGTAACTGCCTGAATGATTTTCTGCCCGATCGGCTGATTGACTGACTGATTGGCTGCTTAACTCGCTGTTTTCCTTATTTGGATTCCTACTTGAATTTGCTACTACTGCTTCTATTACTATGACTTATAATGTGTTCTTTTTTGTTTAGTTTTTCTTCTAGCATTTCTCCATCCTTATCTTTTATATTATCACATCTTCTCCACGTTACTATCACCAGTATCACATTTTCAGTCTCGCCATTTTATGAAAGTAAGTAACCACGACCGTTCTTGACTACTACACAATTGTGTTTGCAGAGAAACTTTCCACCTCAGCCAGAAGACATTCATACCCGATTCAATCCAAGACGATGTCCATCTGCAGGTGTCCAATGCCTACTCGGGGGAGTCTGTCACAGCGGCAGCCATTGGGAGTATTGTACTACTCGAGATGAAATATGCCCTGCAGAACGGTGATTCATTCATTCATTCATTCATTCATTCATTCACTGTTGTGCTGTACTTTGTATGTCACATAGGGCAGTGTTTTCCAAACTTTTCTTAGTCGCTGCGCCTTTTTTAAAACCAAGATTTTTCCACGGCGCCCTAACCTAAGTAAAAGTAGAATATTTCTTAGAATATTTCCCGGCCCCCCTGTGAAGAGTTCGCGGCTCCCTGGGGCGCAGCTGCGCACAGTTTGGGAAACACTGACATAGGAAATCCTGAATGAATAATAAAGAGGCCAGACTATTTCTTCAGGCCTCGGGGATGTAGTTTTCCAAAACAATCCTAAGAATTCACAGAACAACTGAAAAGAGCAACCAGAATGTTTTGAATGAGAAAGGGGCAAACTGGAACATGTTGAAACTACTGGAAATACCTATGGAAAGAGACGGATGAAGACAGCGTGAGAAGTTCCTTGACAGCCTTTTGTCGTGGCATTGAGGGGTGTCAACACACGAAACGCAGTTGCAGACTGTGGAGAGGCATGATCGCTCCACCAGTCGGCAAGGCACTTGATGATAATGAGGGATCACAATCTATCCCTCCATTCTGTTCTATCTTGTGCAATTCTTTGGATATCATGTTTGGAACTTCCTCTTCTTCTTCGCGTTCACTAGCTGTAAACTCTGGTGGAAAGTTGTGGGCGTTCGTCCACTTTTGGACTGCAGTCCTGTTCCAGAACCTGAGTGTTACATGTGCACCCATTTTACAGATCTGACTTATTTGTGTGCAGACTGCTGGTTTCTTGCCTCTCAGGCAGATGCTCTCCGACCTCGAAATAAGCTTCCAATTCGTTGACTCCTACGACATGCTTTCGGGTAGGCAGTGGGGCTATTCTTGTTTTCCTTATAACAGGACCCCAGAACCCACACGGGGAGGGATAGATGGAATCTAATCCAGCATCTGTGGCCTATTTCATCAACGTTCACCTGTTTTTCTTGGATGTTCTCTTTTCCGCAATCCCTGTATTTTCTATTTGAGTGACTGTTTGAAAATTCTCTGGCCCTCTCTTCTCGGATTGTGTCCAATACAGCGCTATGTTTTTCTGTCTTAAAACTATCCCACATATAAGAATACATAAAGAAACATCTGTATCACCAGACCATAAGAAAATCAATCAAACTGATCACATATGTGTGGAAAAAATAAATAGATCATCCCTTTATGATGTTGAGGTGTTTAGAGACGCCGTTGTGTTTAGTGACCATTTCCGATTGGTAAGTCAAAATCAAATTGAAAGTTAAAAGATATATAACATCTTATAATCATAGAAGAGAGCTCCCGTGGTGTAACGGCTAGACACTCGGCTGCTGATCGGAAGGTCATGGGTTCGTGTCCTGATGAAGCCGGACTTTTAAAAAAATGACCTTGGTTCCCAAATCGACCCAGCTTTGATTGGGTACTAGGTAGATTCATGGGAACTAAAGGCAGTCAGCGTGATGTTCATCACATCACTCAAATACATGTCGTTTAATGCAGAACGTTAATCACTATTTAAATTTGCTTGTTGGATCTTCTTATTATTATTTTTCCTCTCCTCATCATAATCATCCTCATCATTATCTTCTGTTCCTTCTTTCCCTCCTCGTTGCCATTTCTTTCTCCTTATTCTTCTCTCACAACCAGTGCTGCTATTGTTTACAATCATACTACCGTAATTACTGTCTGTGCTACCACTACTATTGCTACAATTACTGTTACTACAGTCCGGACTAAGACTTTTACTACAACTACTATAATTAATAATGCAAAACTAACTCCACTACTTCAACTGGCTCTGTTGTAGAGTCCCGCTTAACTGGAGTCATCCCGTACAACTGCGTGGCGTACTCACCAGATGGGAAACATGTCAAACAACTGCTAGATGAACATGGGTAAAAGTTGTAAGATTATTTCTTTGTATCATAAATTTTGTATCTCTATGTTCATGTTCTACGTGATGCTGAACATATCACCCACCAAGTCCCGAATGGTTTATATTTATAGGTCTAACCCTATATACCCAATACACCCGAAGACGTGGAAAAAGTTCCTGTACTTACTTGTACTATGTTCATATCACCTGTCTGCCCATCTTAAGGTTATTGTTTTTTGTGTGTAGGCGTGATGCTCAGTGCACCGTAGTCACAACTGAAACTGCTATATCCCAGTGTGATAATTGCACGCTGAAACGTGGGACATCCTCTGAGGCTCATTGCTGATAGGTTGGTAGCGTATCCTTTGCAGGACGTTGCAGAACCAACTCCAACAGCCCCTGGCTATTGTGCGGTTTTTCTAGGCAAATTTACGTTCATTAGTTTGCCATTGCCACTGGACGGTCGGCTTTCTTGATACCAATGTCTAAACCAATGCAAGGCGCATGACCCGCCGCTGGGATCGAACCCGGCATCCCGGCATTACGAAGCGTTCGCATCGACTTGACCACAGAGCCGACGATTGCTGATATGTAGTAGTTATTGAGGTCAACCTCTGCTACGAAATACAGGTGTGCAGGTAAGACATGAATGATGTAGGTACTGAGGTGGATTCACAAGAGCATGATGGCATGGACCGTGTTGCAATGGGGTTTTTAGGTAAACAGGGGTGAGGGAAAGAGAGGGAGTGCGGATACAGGAGAACTAATAACAGACAAGTTATGATCTAAGCGTCTGAGAAGAGGCACACTAAATGCTTGCTATCGAAACAATAGTCCTGACTTCCATGATCTACTTGCGGAAGAGTGGGAGCGGGGCTTGCTCGTCACACTCGCCATCGCCATGGGCTGTGACTCGAAAATCTGTCTATAGAACAGTGGGAGAATATCGTCTGAAAAGACAGAAAGGTGCTCACCAGTTGGAAAGTAACAGCGATGCGAAAAGTAGCAGGACAATCAACCTTGTATGTTGTGTCCGAAAAAATGCGAAGTACCTTCTATAGCTCAATCGGTACTCGGTAGGTGATGAGGCCAATATTACAAAAAGCGCCTTGAACATTTCCTGCTCCGAATTTTAAGCTGGTGTTAGCTGAGGTTACTGCTAAATTTTTTAAAATTCATGTCCATAAGAATCGGGCAGACGACAATATGACCGGAGAGTAAGCGTGATGGACATGATTACACTTAACCTCTCCAAGTAATGGCCATGAAAACGAGTGAAAAAGAAGGAACGAAACAAATGACGATAGATGCACTGCTGTCATAATAGGGTTTGGGTTAGGGTTAGGGATAGGAGTGGCCGTAGTTTTAAGGAGTACCAATACCCTAACCCAAACCCTATTATGACAGCAGTGCATCTATCGCCAACACACAGTAATTACGTCATTTGTTTCGTTCCCTTTTGTCCACTCTGTAATTGCAATGCGGCCAGGGGACTGAACTCCGGCGTACTCCATAATGAGTGGCCGTTGTTTTAAGGAAAACCGGGATTTCTGCGACTGGGTGATCCTCATCCGAATAGTAGCACTTTGTGTCACCGGGTGGTGGTCGCTCGTTGTACGGTCCTAGTAGAGATGAACAACAAACATACTGGAGTACCTTTGGCATTCTGCCTATAGCGTTTCCCTTACTTAAACGATAGTCATATTTCGTCATGTTTTGCTCAACGATTTACCTCGCCATCACCACCCCAAGCCCCAAATTCCCAGCAGCTCCTGTGGTCTCTTACAACTATATGCATGACAGTGTTTAGCGTTAATTATTATTTGCTGATTCCCTGAAAGTAACAAAAGAGCGAACTGTTCAGTGCTATATTTATTTATTGTCAGATGCACTGTCCTGAAATCCCCTGTCAAGTCATTTTCCCGTGAAGATGACCAGAAGATCGTCACACCTTGGTTCAACCTGTTCGCCTTTGAAGACGAGCCATCAGTGGCGTTCCAGTGTTCGTTTCGCTTGTGCTTTTCCTCGGACTGTGCAGTTGTGAGTGTGTAATGTGTTTGCTCTATTGTGTATTACATCCATCTATGATATTGGTAAGCCTTTCAATACTAGAAAGTTCACTGTGTGTTTTTTAGTTTTGAGGTTTTGAGTGGCACATGGGTAGTAATCCACGAGTGCTCCGTTCTTCTTCTAACTTAAGTCTGAGTCCGAAGAAGCTCAGCCTTGTGCACAGGCTCTGTAGCACCGGCGAGGATCCTGAAATACTTTGGGTTGGTTTTTAACTCCAAATTCTGCACGGGCAGAGCCCTTTTCGATTTCCAACTGCCAAAGGATTTTTTACGTGCGCAACAATGCACACGGGCGTCCCATCTCATTACCCAGAGACCGGGAGGGGGGCGGTTACTAGAAATGTCCTGCCCTTACCGGGGATTGAACCCGCAACCTCTAGCACTCGAGACGGACACCATACCTCGATACCACGCACCCCCCTTGTTCATTAGTTTGTTCAAAGGAAGTTATCCTGTCATTTACAAATGTTTTCTACATTTGCTTACTGTATCCGTCGGCGTCTGTGCCCTAGGCGCTGTGAACGCGCTTTATAATTCCGGGTTCGATTCCAGCTGCAGGTGTTTTTAACAACAGAACGGGGAATTGGAGTGGCTTGGGAGAGAAAAAAGAAAGAAGAGCCTGAAATGGACATGACTAAATTACCCTAAACCTGTTCAACAAGCAGCAGACAAAAAGGTGGCGGGTTTTTTATCATAGTACTTCCATCAATACACCTTCATGACCTAAAAGGTCTCCTCTTTCGTTTATTTAAACAAAAGTACCGAGAGCGGACCGCTGAGAAGAAATGGCAAACTACTGAACGTAAAATTTACCCCGGAAAAAAATGCTGGGTTGATTCTGGAATGTCTTGTAAAGAATTACCCCAAATTATTATATTACATATACTGTCGCTATTTTAACATCTTGTAATGTACACAGGTACACAGGTCCCCCCCCCCCCCCCCCCCCCAATGAATCTTGGTAATCTTGTGAATCTAAGTTTTAGCTTCATAGCAAACGAGTCACCCTATAGTAGCTCCGCTCCTGTGCCAACGAAAAACACACAGAAATTTCGTCGCAGTCGCTTGTGGAGAGATTGACAGACTGCTGTCTCAGCATATGCACTAGCATACACACGCATTAAAGGCATACGGTAGCCATCAGAAGTGCTAACACAAACAGTCTGACATTAGAAATGCAGTTCATCATCGACGGTAGCAAAAGTCGCCAACAGATCAGCAGTTGCACACACGATCAATATTAATCACATAAGGGCACCACCAATATCGCGGTGACGGGTCGCGCGCATTTTCTGAATCTACAGTTCACAACACCACGTTGGTCACAGCCGAAAAACATTCCAAATGAAATCCGCAGCTCACAGGGTGGCGCCATGCACTTAACTCAGTAGCTGGGGCGACGAAACAGTTTTTTTTATTTTTTTATTTATAAAGTAGAATTCTTTAGGAAAGAAAGACATTAAGTTACTCGCTGGGGCTAAACGAGTTACAGTCAAAAGGATAGACTTCTATGTGCCTGGCTTTTCTCCCATGTAGTTAGATCCCTCTAGAGCAGTGGTCTCCAACTTTGTTTTCAGGTGGGTTATCCCGTGAGCATATGACAAGACCCACCCCCGATCCCTCCAGTAGTGTTGGGCGTGGTAGTATCGGGCGCCGCCTCTTGTGTTTTCTATAGCCCAGTATGAGTATGTGTAAATATGAACACTATAGATTAGTAGTGAAAACATATAGTCCATATCACTGTATGTAAGTTGTGATAAATATATGCTCTGTTAATCGTACCTCTGCTCCACAGGGATGCTCGGCCCCAACCAAACGTCGAAGAGACACGCAGCAATTTAGAGATAAGGAATCCCACTCCATAACAAACACGGTCAGAATACTGCCAAGTAACCACACTAAGAAAACGACAGGTCTGATTTTCACTGTTTGTGCTTTTCCATGTGGGTTCAACAACTCCATTGTGGGGGTCATTAAAAAATAGACCTACTGTCCTCTGAAATCTCTGTTGTAAATGGCGAATAAAAAGGGGTTTACTTAAATCGGATTTGGTGGCCAGAAAATTATAGATATCGCAGCCCACTTGTAAACCACAACACAGTGCATATCCTCGTTCATAAGTGCAAAAGGTGGAAGAGGAGGAGGAGAAGCAGAAGAAGAAGAAGAAGAAGAAGAAGAAGAAGAAGAAGAAGAAGAAGAAGAAGAAGAACAACAACAACAACAACAACAACTACAAAGAAAGCAAGAACAACAACAAAAGCAAGAAAAAGTATTTTCTTTCTCAGATATGTGCGATTACTTAATTTTCAGGTGTACCAACAACGGCTAATCCAATTTCACACGTTGTCTCTCCCTATTTACGTTTGATCGTTTCTGGTATCTTGTTTTGGCTGCATCGACCTGGCAACCATTGTTAAAGATATCCGCCCATGTGCGAGTTCGAACCTTTAGACAGTTTGATTTCCGGCCAAAAGGGAAAGAGGCGGCGCTGATAGCTGGCTGACCGCTGACGCTCTAAAAAGTTAACCGTTAAGTGGCTAGATTTTGCTGGTGTAAATTCCCCATTTCTGGACGGGGGTTGCAAAGACACGGTAGCCCAGCTCGTTGACTGTGTTCTGGTGTGACACTGTGAGCTTTGGATTTTTTGTTGAATGTTTTTAATCGGTTGTGTCCACGGCGTGTAGTCGACACACCTGACACATCCACAGGTGCTCAGATTCCCTCCTCAACATATTCATCAGCGTCCCGCAGATAATAGTGTCAGTCGTATGCTAGTTCACAAGACTTCGGGTACGTGCGGTGTGCTTCTACTGCTTGGCTGTGCCGATCTTTATTCCCAATTCTCATCTTCTTAGCTGAGAAATTACACGTTGCTTCCAAAATCCTCGAAACTTTTTCTCTCTAAGGGCATTCACATTGCCTACGTGATCCATAGGTCGGCCATTTTCAGTCTATCAGCGTTTTCATTACCAACAACGCCTTCATATCCCGGGCCACAAATGAAGTTAACTGCACACACAGGAGAGCTGTGCAATAGCTCAATTCACTGTCTGCGTAACCAGCCTGCCTCGACCCGCCGGATCATGCTCAAAGAATTACTCAGCACACTCACACGGGAATATTCCTGTGATTTTAGCCACATAAAAGCTTGTGTCACCGCCATCACCTCCATCGCCATGCTACTGGTGGTCATGGAGAACGCACCGCTGGCTTTTTGAACTGTTCTGCCTGAAGAGCGAGCTGTAAATACACATGCACTCTTATGTCCTCGTATAACTGACCCGTCTGTAAAGATCTGCTCTTCGGTCTTATCTGACATGTCACTGATAAGCGCATAGACCTGGCGTAGACAGGAGCGGGCAACTTCTGTCAAGCGTGACGACACAGGAGAAATCCAGATTGGGCGCTTTAGACGCTGGTGTAAATTCCTCATCTGGGTAGATATCTATTAGGCTGAAAAAGCACAATGCGCTAAAGATGCCAGTGCGATTAAATTCAGGATAACGTGTAGTTTTGAGCGTGCGATACAGGCTTTTGTTTGAAATTGACAGTTTGCTTTATCTGTGAGCTGCTGCGATTCTGGTGTTGGGATTGCTCGAAGACTATTTGTCGTGAAACCCACAACAGGGCTGTTGGATTCTCGAGAACGACAACTTCAGTGAGAGGAAACCCCTTGCCGGTCAGAATAATGGTGATACTTATGATATAGACGGCGATGCTGTTGCTAACAGTGATGATAACAATAGTAGTAGTAGTATGTGTGTGTTTTTTCTAATGTTATGACAGTCGACGTCACTACACATGCGCATTCCCATAGGTGCTCACTTCTCTGTTGCAGCAGCCACTGCAAGGTACAGCTATTGAAGGTTTCCATGGGGAATGGTTTTGTCTCCTATCTCAGACTTGAAGACTTACTGTATAGAAGTGCTTTACTCCCATGTCACGCAATCCTTAGAGTGATAATGGTAGTTGTGGTGACGGTGATAATGCTTATTACGATAATGAATAATATTTATGGTGCTGAAGAAGATAGTGATGTTGATCACAATATCTACACTGTTTACTATCTTGTGTTCCTAATCTGTTCTCAGCTGACAGTCAGACTGGGGAATACCAGCAAGCCCACCCACCAGCAGCGCCTCCAGCCTACGACATGGGCCCGTTCGTCTACGTCAACCCTGTGACCTGCTCGCTCTTCCTCCTCATCCTTCTGGTCTTCCTCTGCATGTACATCGCCTTCATCCGCACACTGCGCAAGTCTGTCTACGACATCCGGAAGGAGATCGAGGTCAGGAGGTCACGGGACAAGTTCCTCCATTGTGGGTGTGTTCAGCAGAAAGACAAGGAATATGTTGCAACTTAGATGTTTGAATAGGCCTATTTGTTTTATTTATATCAAAACATGTATGGCTCGTTTAATTTCTGATCTATATAATATATTTAATTCACTTAGAAGACGATTGAAAGATAATGTCCAGGCAGACCTTCACACACTTCAAGTCGCCAACTGGAAAGAGAAGGCCAACCAGAGAGATAAGTGTAGGCGGGTGATATCTGCAGCAGTGAACCTGAAGGGCTCTGAATGCTGAAGAAGAAGTTCCTTATCATTATTACGGGCGTAAAAATACATAAAACGCTTGCCACGCTACCTACCACCCTTTCCATTATTATATCAAAACGTAAAGGTTTGTTACATTCTATTATTTTCTCAACAGTTGTCTGTCACATGAAGACTGCTTTAAATTCTGAGTATTTTGTGAGGAGTCACCTAGCCTTTATGTTATATATATATATATATATATATATATATATATATATATATATATATATATATATATATATTGGAAGGCTGTTATTACACAGTAGTCGGAAAGAGGACGCCCAAGGAAACATAAAGAATAACATTACTACAAGAGGCAAAAAAATAAAACTGTTGAAAACCATGTCAGAAATCTAGAACGTTGCATGCAGTACAGCGGGGTGAAAGGGTGGTTTATGGAGATGGGGGGCGGTCGAGTGCGAAACCTTTGTGACGTCTAACGGCACACAAACGACGACGATAATATATACAGACTACCAATCACAGTATTATGTATGTGTTTTACTTCTACAATTCACCACTGGACAGACGGTGGCCGCCGACGTGAGATACTGTCTTTCATCGACACCTTACTGACTGTTATGTTGGTTTTAGTACCCAGAAGCCATGTGTTGTTAACCCTTAGGCTCGGTATTATGGATATCGCAACCTTTCGGCCTTGATTCCATTATAAATACCGTAAATCTGGGAGAAATATGGATTTTCTGCCTACCCCCGGGAGTGAACCCGGACCACAATGAGTTCGTCACCCGGTCTCCGCGCAATCTGGTTTAACCAACTACGCTAGAGAGCCGGGCTATCACTGTTAAAGAATTAGTAACTTGGGCTTCCAGGCCGATCCAGCTTAACATGTACCAGGCAATATTCTGGAAAGCAAAGGTGGCCGGCGTGAGTACCGAATAGCCTTTAAAAATATGAATAGCTGCATATACCCCGTACGTCACAGACTTGAAAAGTATTCTAACTGCTTACTAATAAAACTCACGTATCAATATTTTACATGTAGCATGTCGTTTTGCAGAACGTCGCTCTCGTTGTGTAACGCAGGTAGACAGCTCGCTCCCCTGTCAACCTTCCGTATCGTCAACTGTCATGTCCTGGGTGTCCTTGATATCCTGTATCTACCTCCTGTCAACTGGTCGACCTCCGCTTCCTCTTCGCTCAAGACCATTATATGCATGATTGTTCTTTCCAAACCATTCAATCAATTATAAGGTCCTTTACAGCATATCGCTCTGTATAGCTTTGATTGATAACTACAAGAGAAAAGACACCCCCCTTCAACTACAGTAAGGAATGCTGGGCTAAAAGAATGTAGGGGGAAAAAGAAATAATAAAAGGTTATTCTCCAAAGGTGTAGTAACAGACGATCAGGAAAAAGTCCAAAGGTGTAGTAACAAACGATCAGGAAAAAGTCCAAAGGTGTAGTAACAAACGATCAGGAAAAGACCGCTAGTGGTCATCAATATTATCGAAATGTTTCCTGTCTTTTCATTATATTGAATACCCGTGTGTGTTCCGGGTTCCCATTTTGTAGCAAAAAAAAAAAAAAAACATTGTCTGACCAAAAGCATGTCGTAAGAGTCGATTAATTGGGAGCTTCCTTCGAAGTCGGAGTGCATTTGCGTGAGAGGCGAGAAACCAACAATCTGCTTCGTAAAAATGAAGTCAGACCTGTGAAACGAAAGTACACGCAACATGCAGTTTCTGAAACAGAGGGTGAAGGAACAACCAGAAACTCCCGCTTTAAATTAAAAGCCATCGAACATGAAGAAGAAGAAAGCTATGTTGAAATTTGAAGTACATGTGTGTTTCCCATCAAGTTCAATCAAGTGGGTTTACTAACCTTTCTAACTCTCATCTCCGCTCTGTATTTCAAGTTCCTTTCAAATGTGTTTGTTTCGTGATTTAAAAAAAAAATCACACATAAACTACATGATGGATGCGCAAACAGAAACAGGTTTTAGTTTTGATCATTTAAATATAGCTTTTATAGAAAGCTGGCGTTTATAGGTTTCGATCAACCCCTGCCCATGCAGTTTACATTTAAAGCGCAGAGTTGATTCGTGAACTGACACCAAAGGGCATTCCCATAAGTGCTCCGTCCCCATCGTCAGAAGCCAGTACAGTCTCGGTACCAATGTCACCAGTAGATATATCCGTCTTGCTTTTCCTAGGGTCTTCGAGGATCGGTCAGATCTCCTTGTCACTCCCAGCAGCATTATTCCCCTCACATTGCGATAATCAATTAGCTGTTCAAAATTGTACGCGTAGTCTCATAACGCCTTATCTAGCATCCATATTTTATCAAATTACGCAGAGTTAGCCGATTTCTCCACCTAAAACAAAGACATGGCTCGAGGAAACGACACAAACAATGCTTTTTACCCGTGACCTTTGAAGCCTATTACTCTGTACAAAGACTGCCTGTCCCCATCTTCCTCAGCATGTTTCTGTGTCAGTTACAATCAATAGTTGTAAGTTTAACAAACACAGGAAGTCAAATCGCCCAGAATGACTTCAACAATAAACTCTTTATTTACGAAAACTTAATCTAATGATCTCAAACAATACACAAACACACAATTCCATTTCATACATTCCATATTCAAAACACAACATGATATGCCACTTCTAGTATAATACTTATGTAATACTCATGTTTCATATACAAGACCACATGTAATATCCCTGTACAGCATATGTAAGACCCATGCTCCATATACATATGATTTGTAAAACCCGTGAAAAGATCCTAACAAGTTAAAGCAACAAGAATGACATGCAAGAGCTACTACATCAACATGGAATGATAAAAGCTATTACTGCCTATCAAGCAATAAATCGGACTCTGTTCCTACCCACCATTGGCAGACGTGGAAACTGACGAAGATGATCAATCAATGAAATAAAACTACGTAACTGGCTTTCGAGTAAACTCAGTTTACGAAACAACTTACTAATCTTTGTATCCAACTCACGACCCTGTGAATCAAGCTTGGATTTCTTCCCCCCAAAAGGAAGATGTGACGTCGTACTTCCTCCATGCGCCAGACTGGTTGATGTTGTCCTGTTGGCAGCGTGAGCCACAGTATTTTGTGCTGCATAATGAAAACTGCAACTCTTTCTTGCTAAGAGGTATTTGGGTTGTGGCTGGGTTGTGGCTAAATGTTCATCAGTAGCTAGCTTTTGTTTTCGTTCTCCAAAGACACAACATCTGGCTACAGACTTAGCAGGAACCACAGTATTTGGTGCTGCATAATGACAACTGCTACTTTTTCTTGCTGGGGAGTATTTCGGTAGTGATTTGGCTGTGGCTAATTGCTCGCCAGTGGCTAGTTTTTGTTGTTCTCCAAAGACACAACATCTGGCTGCAGCAGGAGCCACAGTATTTGGTGCTGCATAAATGTAACTGCCAATCTTTCTTGCTGGGAAGTATTCAGGTTGTAATTTGGCTGTGGCTAAATGTTCACCCGTGGCTAGCTTTTGTTTTCGTTCTCCAGAGACACATCTGGATGCAGACTTAGCAGGAACCACAGTATTTGGTGCAGCATACAGATAACTGCCAATCTTTCTTGCTGGGAGGTATTCAGGTTGTGGTTTGGCTGTGGCTAATTGCTCGCCAATAGCTAGCTTTTGTTTTCGTTCTCCAAAGACACATCTGGATGCAGACTTAGCAGGAACCACAGTATTTGGTGCTGCATAAATGTAACTGCCAATCTTTCTTGCTGGGAGGTATTCAGGTTGTGGTTTGGCTGTGGCTAATTGCTCGCCAATAGCTAGCTTTTGTTTTCGTTCTCCAAAGACACATCTGGATGCAGACTTAGCAGGAACCACAGTATTTGGTGCTGCATAAATGTAACTGCCAATCTTTCTTGCTGGGAGGTATTCAGGTTGTGGTTTGGCTGTGGTTAAATGTTCACCCGTGGCTAGCTTTTGTTTTCGTTCTCTAAAGACACAACATGTGGCTGCAGAACCTTCAGATGGTGATCTTGTTCTACAAGCTTGGCTGTTTCTGGAACTTGGTGGCAGTGAGCTACTTCTACGTTTTGCAGCCATAGATTTTGGCACGCTGGCTACACGTGGTGTAGTGTAGAATTAATGTAGAAGAAGGGCTCAGTGGTGCACTTGCAGTGTGAGGTGAATACGATATCTAGGTAAGTCGACGGACCAGGGAATTGAGATCGCCTATGATAAAAAAGAACACATTTTATATTTTCAACAACAGGAAAAATCATCGCAAATCTCATGATCCTTTTTGTGCTATGGCCTAGTCTAGAACGACCAGAGAAAGCAACAAGACACATATGTGAACAAATGTTGGTGGTGTAGCAGCCAGACACATATGTGAACAAATGTTGGTGGTGTAGCAGCTAGAGAGTCACATGCAGATCCTTAGGTAATGGGTTCAAAGGAGCCTGCATTTTATATTTTACACAAGGTCGGCTATCCTTAAAAGGGTAGCAGGGAACGTACCGGGTGACCAAAGCTGATGCTGACCATTGCAGTCAGTGGATGTGGACTGGTCTATAAAATATAGGTATAGCACTATATACTCAATACCCATGAGGATATGGAAAATGACCCTTTTCCTAAAAAATGTCTACTCATAGGGGCATGGGAAAAGTTCATTCACTGACTATATATCCTAAATGCCTAGGGGTGTGGGGGAATAAGTTCATTCCCTAACTATATGTTCTATAGTTCCAAGGGTGTGGTTAAAGTTCATTTACTAACTATATGTTCCATATTCCCAAGGGTGT